TACATTTAATACATTTTTGTTGTTTTCTTTCGATGTTTTGGAGGCAAAAATGTTTTATGGGTTAAGACCGAGAGCTTTGCTAAACCGACTGTAAGTGCAGTGAATGTAAAACATATTCACTGTTTAGAACAAAGACAATGGATTAGGACTGGAATTATGAGGGATTGAAAGCAACCGGCGCTACAAAACAGTGTCTAATATATAACACACTGTTAGAGAGAGGGAGACATTTCATAATAACAGATAACAGACTATATTTTAGATTTAGTGGTTATGCGGGGAATAAAAATTACTCTCAAATTCACAACCACTGAGTGCTATGTAGTGCTAGACTTTTCATATAACAGTTGTATTACAACAAAAGCATAGATTAATAGCAGTAAAGGAGAGAAAGTAATGGATGAGTGACTGAATCGAGTCTACAATGAAGAAGAAGAAGGGATGCCAACGAATGTCAACTCAATATTTAATTCATTCAATACTTATTCAATCGACACATAAATTGGGAATCGTTTTTGCAAAAAGCATTCATATTTACTCCGAGTGTCTGTTATAAGTCAATGAATGCATACTTTAAATAGATCTAAAACCTCATCTTCACAGCAGACTTTCAGCTCTCTTTCACATCTCATAGCAAAAAACGTGGGAATTTTTTATCCAAAAAAATAAGAAAACTATGTAAATATTTTATTTTCCGAAATCTTATTTACAAAACACATGGAAACCTATAACCGATATACTATTTAACAGGAATTTAAACAAATAATATTGAATTAATCGACTTAAATATAAACTTTATAATATATTGAATAATGTATTTAAATTAATTGATAATTTTTAACCCAACATGTTCACATTACACTTAACAAATAATCAAAATGGTTTTCAATCAATTTATTTAAAACATTATAGAAGACGAGTAAAGAATATTAATTATATATGACTGGAGTTTTAAATCATTAAAAATATACTATTAATATAAAGGCGACACTTAATGTAATCTGTCATTGGATTTCATAATTAGACACAAAAAACTAAACATTCAATTTAGTGATTGCCATAACATGTCTCTACGGTATCGACAATCAAATCAAAGCCTTGAACTGAGTGTAAATGAAAATGAATGCAAAAACGAAAGAAATAATAGTTTGTCTTTACCTGTGGTGAAGAGCACAATGGCCTTCAGACAGCTATATTCGGCCGCATCGACGTGCAAGGCTTTCAACTTCTCTACCTGTTCCTGATGTGAGACAATCACATCATATCGTCGTCAATACAATATATCACACATTAGTCTCTCATTAATTCACTTTCAATTTTGTAATATTATTATATTATTAATACAAATGTTTAGTTTTATAGTTAAAATTGAGATCTAATTTAAGAAATCAAACATAAAAACACGCTTTACCTGAAAGATACGGATGTGATCCATAAAAGCGACGACTCGGTCGGCGGCCATTGGACTGAAACGAATTCATACTTAATTATTGTGTCTATTTTTAAAGTCATTAAACTTATCATTCATTGTTTGAACAAAAAGAAATTGAATTCAAAATAAAGATCACAAATAGAAAGAAATACTAGAAGAAGAATAGGAGAGGAGTGAGAAGTAGTAGAAGTGATGGCAGACCTGGCGTGAAGTCCGGCGGCGGCGAGAAGTGGTGCGACATGTAATGGCATCGAACACTGGGAGGCGTTCAGCACAAAGAGTTCACTCCAGACAAGTCTGAGGAGCGCCACCTGATCGGTGACCTGGAGGTCGGGGAAGAAGGGTATGTTTCGCGCCCATTCAACTGCGCTGAACAGTAGCCGTGCGGCCAATTCGCACATGTTATCGATGCCCATAATATTGTTGGGTTGCATACACTGCGAGTAACGCGATGGCGGATATGGTTCGGCCCGCAGTAGCAATGATATAAAGCTTGATAGATATGAGTGTCCGTTAAGTGAGTCGCCGTTCGTGAGGGCCATCTGTCCCGGCAATGAGTGTCCGTGTGTTGGAGGGACGCGACCCCTTTGAACCGCTAAATGCATACAAATATTACTTAAATTACTATTACTTATGAAGTGAATGGTGTGTGGATTGTCTCGCAAATGGATCGGTTGAGACATAACATCAAGATATTAGAGAGTTATTCATATATCAAATGCATTTTGCTTTTTATTACATGTATTATGGGTCTAGAAATGGGGTCTAACGTAACGTAACAATGAAAATATGATTTCATGACAATAAGGATTTATTATTAGGCCATTAACCAGACTATTGGTAACTACTCTCACAGGCTTTTCACCCACTTTTGCCTTATTATCGGCGGTCACTCTCTTTTCACAGGATATAAAATCCATTTATATTTATAGACATTATATGCACCGTTAGTTTCGGACCTAATTGTTTGTTAATATCTTAGCACAAAATTACAAATACTTTATATAAATAGCGGCTAAAGTTTGGTGAAGAGATTTCAAGTGAATGTCAGAAATACATTTGTCTCGTAAACAATGGGATTAACGTTAAGAATCGGATTAAAGTGCGAATAAAAGGGAAGCAATTGTTTAGGAGTTATATAATGTTATACTCTATTCGTGTAAAATTGAATGCATTTTGCAAAACACGAGAAACACTATTATTTAAGAGCAAAGTCTCCGATAAAAGACAAGTTTAAAAAAGAGAGCGAAAAGTGCGATAATATTGTGTTTTTGAATAGCATTTTCGAAAAAGACATTTACGAAGTCATGCGCGCAAAAAAGTCTTCGTTTAGTTTTGTGCGAAAAATTTGTATTTTTATATAAAACCCATGAAAATGAGAAGAAGAGAGAAAATTCATATCTGAGGCGAAGAATATATATTGAGGGCGCAGTCGTCAGCGCCAGTGATAGTAAGGCATCTGACGATAAACAAAGTTAAGACCAAACAAGACATGCAATCGACTGTATTTTGTATGTGAAGTCTGTTTGTATTAATACTAAATTATTGTAGAGTTTTAGTAGTAGTTTGTTAGAGATAGTGAAGTGAGAGGACCTTGGATTCAATACAATCCGTATTAGAACTTATCTGTTACTCGACTGCATAAACATTACTTTAATTTTTATTTCAAATCACATTTTTTGTATGATTAACACTAAATTCAACGTTAAGTCTGAGAGGACCTTGGATTCAATACAATCCGTATTAGAACTTATCTGTTACTCGACTGCATAAACATTACTTTAATTTTTATTTCAAATCACATTTTTTGTATGATTAACACTAAATTCAACGTTAAGTCAAAAAGTTAGTGTTTAGAGAGTAAATCGGTATTAAACGTATTGCTTATATAAATCTAGGCCTACATTATTGCCTAACAATTATGTGCACTCAATGAGACAAACAATGAGATAAACATTTTATCAATATATTATGATATATACAGTATTAACTTATTATATGATGTTATTTTCAAATGGATTTCAATTAAATAAGATTTGAGTAAACATTCAATATTTAAATGACTAAATATATATTTTCTTATAAGTTATAACGTGTTTAATATGAATATAAATAAAAATAAATTCTCACTCAAAGGACATGAAAAAGGAGAACATGTAATGAAATGGCATTTAATATTCAGAAATATCTTAAATATTTATAAAAGAAATATCGAAACATATTCTCATTTCTATCACACAATACAATACAGACATTAAATATATATATAAACAGATATTGAGTGTTGAATAATAAATAGTCGAGAATTTTTTGGCAATTCATGACTTGAAATGAATAGGAATTAGCAAATAATAGTACAGATCATGCTTTGGGGGTAATAATGTATAGTGTAAAGTACACTATACCATACATGTGCCGGTGCTCACAATAAGGTGGTATTGCCTGACCTGTGCAAGTCATACCTTCTCTACGCATTCCCATCTTTAGGCACTTTTTTAATCGACAGAATTGGCATTGATTTCGATGGTGTTGATCGATAGGACAGTTTCGGTTGCCTCTACACGTGTACGTCAGGTTCCGCCGCACACTGCGCTTGAAGAACGACTTACAGCCCTCGCACGTGAACTGACCGTAATGTTTGCCACTGCTCTTATCGCCGCAAACCACACACTCTATGTGTTGGCCACTCTTGTCGGCGCCCGACGGCGTCGACGGCTGTGTCAGCGTCAGAGTGCCGTTGGCTGTGGCGCTGGTGTGCACATCGCTGTCCACAGCACCCGAATGCGGCGCTTCTGTACGCCAAGAGGGGACCGCCACTAATGCCATCACAACCACTATATTATGTGCTGATCACAGCCGATGATCGCGGGTATGGTTCGTGTGGATGATAATCAAGTGGTGAATATCGCTTCTTGTGGCGATTGACGCGACGATGAGTTTACAAACGATGAGAATAATCGCCAATACATTCACTCATGTATTATACAAAACAACACTTCCACTGA